TGTCAGCGTGGGAGTCTGTGCATAGATGGGGGGTCTGAGCATGGCAGGCCTCCGGGCTGCAATAGGTGGAAAGAGCCCCATGGTGCTGCCCGGAGGACATCCTGGTGCTTCCTGCCCTAGAGCCTGGGGACGTGGATGGGGGCGGAGGGGCCACTTCAGGGCAGAGAACAGTGTGGGCTCTGAGAGGCCCGAGCTGACCCTGGGCCTGCCTGTCTGCTCCTTTATCAGGCACTGCGGTTAGTCACCTGAGCAGATCCATCCACCTGGCAGACCTGTCCCATGTCCCTGTGAGCACACACCCTACAGCCTCTGTCCATGTGTTCTCACTGGCACCCACGGCTCCACTGAACACCTGTCCACATGTCCGCCGATCGCACACCTGTGCACTGCACACCTGTCTTCCTATCACCATCCACCTGTGCACTTCACCTGTCCACGTGCCTGTGAGCACACGCCTGTGCACTGCACACCTGTCCACGCATCCTGTGCACACACCACCACACGGCCCATCCTTCCGCCTCTCCCCAGCTCTCAAGCAAGGCCATCTCCTGCTGGGGGCCAGCTTGTCAGGGGGAAGAGGCTTGTTCAGCACCGTGGGCCAGCGGCACAGCAGCCCACGGCAGGTGCCCCGGGAGTGCTGCGCCCACAGGGGCCAATGGATGGAGCACATGAGGACCAGTGGAACATGGGAGGACTGACGGAGCACATGTGGATGAGCGGGACATGGGAGGACTAGTGGAGCACGGGAGGACTGAAGAGGATGTGTGGACCGGTGGGGCCTGGGGGGATAATGAAGCATGGGAAGACTGACAGAGGACATGTGGACCGGCGGAGTGCAGGAGGACTAGTGGAGCACGGGAGGACTGACAGAGGATGTGTGGACCAGTCAGGCACAGGGGGATAGTGGAACACGGGAGGACTGACAGAGGACATGTGGACTGGCAGAGTGCAGGAGGACTAGCGGAGCACAGGAGGACTGACAGAGGACATGTGGACTGGTGGAGTGCAGGAGGACTAGTGGAGCACGGGAAGACTAGCGGAGCACGGGAGGACTGACAGAGGACATGTGGACCAGTCGGGCACAGGGGGATAGTGGAGCACAGGAGGACTGACAGAGGACGTGTGGACCGGCGGAGCGTGGGAGGACCCACAAAGTCCGTCCCAGGTGCACTCACTGCCCCGGGTGCCCAGACCCCACGTGACAAACGTTACCTGAAGACTCAGAGGACACCAAACGGCAGCAGTGCGGGGCTGGCCCCTCCGCGGGGTTGCCCTCCAGGAGTCTGAGCAGCACCTGCCTCCCCTAACTCCACGCCAGCACCCTTCCTTCTCCACTCATGTCACCCACACACGTGCCAGACATCGCCCAGCGCCCCGAGGACAGAACCGTCCCAGTGGTGTCCCGTGAGCCTCTGGGCACAGCACTCGGGCCTGACCCCAGTGGTGACACAGCTGCCTAACATGGAGATGCCTAAGTGTGACATGTCTCGAAGGAGCCCTGGCAGAGCAGCGCCAAGTCACCGTGAACCCAGAGGTCAGCAGTGTGAGCCCCGAGAAGCCCTGCTGGGGAGACCTGCTCCCGCAAACTACAGCCAGGGAACCCCGCGGGGCAGTTCTCCTGTCACCTGGGGCCCTTGTGACTCAGAACCAACTCAACAGCACCAAACAACAGCAACCCAAATCATGGACTTGGATGAAGTCACTCGCCCCAGCTCACAGAGCCGTATATGGAGGTGGATTTGGACCTGCCTGGAACTCAGCAGGCTCCTCGACCTGGTCACAGAGACAGGGACACCCCACACAAGAGGGCAGGCGGGAGCTGTGGCCAGCTACCCCGACACCCTCATCTTTCTTCCCAGCCCAGGACCTATATGTCATGCAGGATGCTGTCCATACAGCTGGAGGGGGACAGACCCCAGCTAGCTCCTTCCAGCTCCACGAACCTTACAGTGCCCATCACCCAGGAACGATCAAGTCCTCCCCTGGCCCACAGCGCCTTACACCCTCCTCCTTTCTCATTCCACTCCTGCCACACAGGCCCCCCCCACTCTCCCTCTCATCCACCTGCCCAGTCCTGCCCCAGGGCCTTTGCACCACCCGGACGGAGTATTCCCTCCCACGTTGCAACTCCCTCACTGACTGCGCTGCAGGAAGGCCCCTGGTCAGCTGGCATGATGCTGGGCTGGCCAACGTCGGGCCAATTCCATTAAGTCCATTTTGACCCACTGTGGTCCTGGGTGACACAGATGAACAGTCCACGGGGCTCCCTAGACTGTGAGCCTCACAGCTGCAGACGCCAGGCCTTGCACCCGTGGAGAAAACGGGTGGGCTTCAAACATGGACTTTTGGGTCACCAGGGCTCCTCGAGTTCAGAGCCTGGAAGAGTCCACATCCCTGTGTCCCGGCATGCTTCACTCTAAGGTCCTGGGTCCATGCCCCCTTCAACAGAACAAAGCAGGCTGGGACTGGAGCAGGGGTCCCCACCTTCTGTCCGTGAGTCGGGGGACAGGGTTCCTGAGTGAGGCACAGGCTCAGAGTCCGTGTCTACAGAGGTCTGGCTGGGTTGAGGGGGCAGGTTATCTGCCCCCCAGGCCTCTACTGCTCACAGGGTGGAGATGGCAGGGGGTGCAGCTGAGCTCTGCCTGAAATCCAGAGGAAGGGCCGGGAGGGGAGGAGACAGAGGCTCTAATCAGCTTAACCTCCTTAATGAGAGGCTAATTGGGGCTGTCTAGACAGGAAGCTAGAAGCCCAGGGGGAGGCGAGGCTAGGGTCTCCGGGTGTGGCTGGCGGCCAGCCTGCTGCTCTGTGTTTGTGTCTCCAGCCCTGGGACTGGTGACCTGCGGGAAGGTGGGGGGCAGCTAGGCCCCAAGCTACCTCATCCTTTGGATGGGTCTGCACCTGAACCTGGGTCTCTGACCTGGTGGGTCCACACCCACCAACGAATGGAAGCTTTAGATTCCAGCACACAGGTCCTGGCCCTCTGCTGTGGGGCCTTACACCCACAGGTGCCAAGTAAGGTTGGCACTGACTTCCTCACATGTGCAGGGCAAGTGTGAGAGCCAGGGAACATGCAGGCTGAGGGTGCCAGCCCACAGGACGAGTGTGCAAGCTGTGGGACATGCAGGGCGAGTGTGCAAGTCTGGGGACACGCAGGCTGAGTGTGCGGGCCCAGGGAACGTGCAGGCCGAGTGTACGAACCGAGAGTACAAGCGTGTGACCCGGGGGACTTGTAGGCCAAGTGTACCAGCCTGGGGGACGCGCAGGGCAAGTGTGCGAGCCTGGGGAGTGAGCTGTGACAAGGAAGCCACTGAGGGATCCTGGAAGAAGCCACCAGGGTCTGTGTCCCCTCTGCGGTGACCTGGAGCAGGTGACCTCCTAATAGCTGGGCATGGCCACGTGACTTTGTCCTGGTGGTAAGATAAGGAGAAGTGGCAGGTGCCACATCTGAGACTTAACGGAAGGGG